ACAGTAAAAAGATCGGTGGTTGCCAGAGGCTGTGGGGAGGAATAGGGAATGATTTTTAGGCACAAATGATATTTGGAGCAGTTCAACTAATCTGTATGATATGATAATGGTAGATATGTATCATTATCTATTGGTCAAAGCCTACAGAGTATACAACACCAAGAGTGAGTCTGATGTAAACTACAGGCTGTGGGTGGTTATGATGTGTCAGTGCAGGTTCACAAATTTTAGCTAATTTACCACTCTAGCAGGGTGTGTCCACGGTGGGACAGGCTGTGAATGCGTGGGGACAGGCGATATAGTGGAATTCTCTACACATTTCACTCAGATTTGCAGTGGACCTAAAACGACTCTAAAAAATAAATTCTCTTAAAAAAATACATAGCTCATATGAATAATAAAAAAGATAAAACATGAATTTTGGAGACAGTAGGTTTGTGCAATTCTTTTGTTATTATTTAAAGTCAAGGGCTATATGATGACATCCACTAAAGATAAAGGAGGGAGGAAATGAGGGAGGGAAGGGAAGGAAAGGGAATGGAAGGGGAGGAGAGGGAAGGGGAGAGGACGGGAGGAAGGAAGAGAAAGAAAGAACGGACAAATTGATGGACAGGCACTGGGACCGGAATTTTCAATCCAAGGTAGAATATTCCAGTCTTAGAACACCTAAGCCACCGTTATTCAAACTTCAATAATGTCTCATTAATAGGGAAATTCAGTGGTTTTAAAGCAACATTGTTTAAAGAAATGGAATAAAATGTAGCCTGAATTATACTTAATAAAGAGAGATATCCATTTGTGACACTTTGATTTCTGCTTTGTATGTGTATAACTTGTGTGCTCATCGTGACGTAAAATTACATTTTAAAAAGTTTCAGTTTTATGTTTTAAAAGTTTCTCTGCCCTGTGCGCTTCTGCCATGCTTTAATGAAGCGTACTCTTGGGCTGGGTGATTCGGAGATTAAATGAATGAGACTATCAACAAGATTATTTCAGCCAATTTGAAATGTGTCCTGATGCACCAAACAGGAAGTGACGGTCACTGGTAGCCTATGTATCGAGGGGAGGGGCAGCAGATGCTTAGAAGCCCTCCCAGCATTTTACCGGGGTCTAAATGCAATGCAGGAGATCACTATGTGAAGACCAAGTGAAAAGAAAGTTCTAGGTAGATAGAATAAAATGCCAAGCTCCTAAAGCCCTGTGGGAACAATAGGGCAAAATGAGGTCCGGAGAGTCAGGTGAGTTCGGTTTACATGCGTCACCACGTGTGAGGACACCTACAAGGCGGACCCCAGGTGGACAGAAGATCTACAGATCAAGCTCGGGATCCAGGTCCGAGGCGGAGATACAGACAGGCGACTGCACTGGGAGGGGCAGGGCTCATTTCAGGAGAGCAGACCAAGGAAGAAGACATGAAAGAACGGTCCTGCGCAGTATCATCTCAGCGAGGGAGCAACGCGAGTAGTCAGAGCACTCCTGAAACTGATATGTTCAACTTAATGATCAAATATTTACCCAGGGATATTTTCAGTGTATTATTTGCCTGGAGAATTGTGTCTTGTTCAGAGGGGAAAAGAACATTCCGTATGTCTTCTGATGGTGTTCTCACAATTTTGAGAAATTTTGTAGAATATCTTATCCCCTTACATAATAGTTCTTATAAATGAAGGGTCTTCTTTGTAAAGATGCATTTGCAAAAGACAATAATAACCATAAAATTAGTCATGGGTAGCTCTAAAGAAATGTAAATCTTAAGCCTCTGAGCGTGAATTATATCTCCAACAATCTTTACAGTTAGCAGGAAAATTGCATATCTTGCTTATAAATACATAAATATTCACACATAAATGAAATATGTATTGGCTATAAAAAAGATGACCCCTTAACCCAATCCAAATGAATCCTACATTCAGTTGTTTTAAAAATAGCTGCTAAGTTTCCATTTTACTAAATTAGACTTTCAGGAGATGTATGGATCTTTACAGAGGGCTACATTTTCCATTTGTTAGCTTAAAATTCCTTTAAATAGTTGGTTACCGCTGATGTTGCAAACATCTAATTTTTATACTGTTCCTGTAAGAAGCATGAAGGTCTCAAACACATTCCTATGTCCTTCTTTTAAAACTTTTCATTAAAACTCGAAGAAAGAAAGAAGGAAGGAAGGAAGGAAGGAAGGAAGGAAGGAGAGAAGAAAGAAAAAAAATACAGATGAGTTACTTAGCTGTCTTTTCCTTTCCTGTCTCCAAATCCTCACTAAATTCAGGGACATTGAATCTTGGGGTAGATCATGTTACAAAGTAGCAATCTAGGTAATCCTTTCTGAAAATTCTGACCTTGTCTACAGAGTAGAGAGGAAGGAATCCTCTCCAGGACCTTCTTGTTGTGCAAGTCCCCATGCCTGCTTTACCCGTTCCAACCTCTGCAGTGTGTTGATCGAAAGACCCCAGAGTCACATCACTGACCTCTTCTCATCCCCTCCTGCCCGCTCACACTAATAAACAACCCCGTTACTCTGGCTTTCTCTTCTCCAAAGATGACCCATCTTTCTCAGAACAGAAATTATGTTTCTTATCTGAAAGCGTAAATATTAGCTCCCATTTCCTTTCAGATGATCATGGCACTCAGAGAATAAACCCATTATTTTCCAGCTTGATTATACTCCCCTGATTCTCATGCTAAAGTTAAACATGATTTTTGCTATGGAGTGAAAAGGGCAAATGAATGTTGAATTGGCTGAAGATTTTCAAAGGCATTCTGTAGTCCAAATACTAGATGCAGGAAAATAATAGTTTGCATGAAAATAATGCAACTGAGCTAAATTATTTCAAGCCTTCTGGCTAGAGTATGGATTTGTCCTGTGTTGGGGGAAGAGTGTAGATCCACCATTCCAACCACCCACCCTCCTGTGGTGTGCCCAGTAGCTGGAAAGGCTGGGGAATGTGTGACATGAGCCAGGAAGGCAAAGCAGAGCTTGCCTTGTGGGAGTGAATATGAAATTTTCACACACTGCCTTGGGCTTTATGCCTCTCCAGACTTCAGGTCACCCGGTACGCATGGCTATAAATTCCTCTGGTTCCGATGGCTCTAAAAAATAAATCGCCAGTACGACCGGCCTTTATGTCACAAGGACTGAATGCAGCATTTTTCTTCAGGCTGCAAAAGGTGGGGGAGGGAACGGCGACGGTGGTGTATGTATTATACATATGGTGGTCTGTGAAAAATATGAAAACGTGGTACCATTTTATGTATTGAAGACATCAGGGAGCTGAAATGCTTGGATAAGGCGCTATTACTTGCAGGAAGGGAACCTAAAAGGAAGCCGGTCTGGGTAATTTTACTAGTCCGAAGCGGCTGACTTCTCTTGTGAAACACTCTGGGCAGTATCTTGGGAATTACTCAAAGTTGCCAGCTCCCCAGCGCTGGAGGGTGTGAAGCCAGTGATGACGACAGACAATGAATAGGAAGCGGCGGTTTTCTTTTCATTTCACCCCCATAATATCCACAGATGGGTAACAGCGACTAAATAAAGAAACACAAAGAAAACGGGTTTCCAAGTAGCACAGCAGGCTCGACCGGGCATGGGGCTGCTTTAGTAAGGCAGCCCGATCTCTGCGTGGCTGTTCCAAGAGCGGCCCGTCCCACCTTTGCACAGATACAGGACGTCTTCCGACTGCAAAGTTGGGATGCACCTTGTTTCCTCTTCGGTCCGGGTCGCTAACTGAAAGAGCGAGTGCCCCAGAAGGCGTGCTTGGTCCTTGCCAGATTTGCAGGATGACGCCGCTCCGGAGGGCGCTGGTGACCGGGAGGGGGAGGGGACAAAGAGGAAAAGGGGGAATGGGAAGGAATGGGGAGGGGGGAAGGGGACAGGCGGAGGGGTCGCGGGAGGGGGCCGGGGGAGGCGGGCCGGAGACGCATGGGCGGGGCTGTGGGGCAGCTCGCGGTCCCCGGACCGGGTTTAGAACCAGGCTCCGGAGTGGCCAGATTGAACGCGAGGACCCGGCCCCAGCCAAGCCCCACAGACCGTTACTCCAGCCTCGGCCTGGGGCGGGACGCACGCGGCCAGGCGCAGCCCAACCGGCCCGCGGCGTCTCCGCTCGCCCCGGAAGAGGGAAAACAGACGGAGAAAAGGGACAAAACAGAGAATGCAGGCAGGGGAGGGAGAATGAAGGCTCCCGGGCTTTCTATGGCTCTCTTTGCCTTGGAAAAGGGAGAAAGGGAAGGAGCGGCGAGAGCCCACGTGCCCGGAGGTGCTGTGTTAAAGCGCCACCTTCCGTCCGCCGGGGCGCGCGGGGCTCCCCGGCGGGCTCGGGCGCGCGCGGCCCCGGGAAGCAGCCGCACCCCGGGGGCGCGCCGGGCGGCACCCTCCCGCTCCCCGCTCCCCGCTCCAGCGGCGCGCGCGCCCGAGTGTGTGCTCCGCGAGGGCGGGCGCGCCGGCTCGGCTCCCTCGGACCGGCCTCCAGGGGACCCCGCACAAAGGGGCGCCGGACCGGGCCCGGACTCGCCCGGTCCGCCGCGGTGCAGGGCTCGGCTCCGGAGCCTCCCGGGGAGCGGCGCATCTGTGCACACATGCGGATTTTTAAAAAATAACATATTTTCAGACGTGCCTCCCCCTCTCCCCCACCCCCCATCTTTGCAAAGCAGCCCCGAGGGCGGGGGAGGGGGCGTGGCCGAGGAGTTAATAAAGGGAGCTGGGCGGAGCCGGCCGCCAGCCATTGGCTGGCCCGGGGAGTGATGTCACCCATATGACACCCTGATAACTAGTTGGGAGAGAGCCCTCAACTTTTTGCAGAAGGAGCGCGCGCGCCTGGGAGTGCTCGGGGTCCGGCGCTTGCGGCGGGAGCCACGAGCCCGAGAGAGAGAGAGGGGTCCCGGGTTGCCTCGACCGCCGCCGCCTCTCCCGTCGCAGCCGCCGCTTCCCGCGCGCGGGCGGCCGTCGCCGCCGCAACCGCCGCAACCGCTGTGTGCAGCCTGGAAGGGGGGACGGGGGGGAGGGGGGGAGCCGCGGACGCGGGGTACCGAGGACTTTGCAACTTGCCCGGGAAGGTGGAGGGGCGAGAGGGGGAGGGGGACCTCCGCACGAGACCGAGCGGCCCGGGTTGGAGCGCCCAGCCCCGCGGCGGATCATGGTGCAGCAGGCGGAGAGCTTGGAAGCGGAGAGCAACCTGCCCCGGGAGGCGCTGGACACGGAGGAGGGCGAATTCATGGCTTGCAGCCCGGTGGCCCTGGACGAGAGCGACCCGGACTGGTGCAAGACGGCGTCGGGCCACATCAAGCGGCCGATGAACGCCTTCATGGTGTGGTCCAAGATCGAGCGCAGGAAGATCATGGAGCAGTCTCCGGACATGCATAACGCCGAGATCTCCAAGAGGCTGGGCAAGCGGTGGAAAATGCTGAAGGACAGCGAGAAGATCCCGTTCATCCGGGAGGCGGAGCGGCTGCGGCTCAAGCACATGGCCGACTACCCCGACTACAAGTACCGGCCCCGGAAAAAGCCCAAAATGGACCCCTCGGCCAAGCCCAGCGCCAGCCAGAGCCCCGAGAAGAGCGCGGCGGGCGGCGGCGGCGGCGGCGGGGGTGCGGGAGGCGGCGCGGGCGGCGCCAAGACCTCCAAGGGCTCCAGCAAGAAATGCGGCAAGCTCAAGGCCCCCGCGGCCCCCGCGGCCGGCGGCGCCAAGGCCGGCGCGGGCAAGGCGGCCCAGCCCGGGGACCTGGGCGGCGCGGGCGACGACTACGTGCTCGGCAGCCTGCGCGTGAGCGGCGCGGGCGGCGGCGGCGGCGGCGCGGGCAAGACGGTCAAGTGCGTGTTCCTGGACGAGGACGACGAGGACGACGAGGACGACGACGAGCTGCAGCTGCGGATCAAGCAGGAGGCGGACGACGACGACGACGAGCCGCCGCACCAGCAGCTCCTGCAGCCCCCGGGCCAGCAGCCGCCGCAGCTGCTGAGACGCTACAACGTCGCCAAAGTGCCCGCCAGCCCCACGCTGAGCAGTTCGGCCGAGTCCCCCGAGGGCGCGAGCCTGTACGACGAGGTGCGGGCCGGCGCGACCTCGGGCGCCGGGGGCGGCAGCCGCCTCTACTACAGCTTCAAGAACATCACCAAGCAGCACCCGCCGCCGCTCGCGCAGCCCGCGCTGTCGCCCGCGTCCTCGCGCTCCGTCTCCACCTCGTCGTCGTCCTCGTCCAGCAGCAGCGGCAGCAGCAGCAGCGGCGCCGGCGAGGACGCCGACGACCTGATGTTCGACCTGAGCTTGAATTTCTCCCAGAGCGCGCACAGCGCTGGCGAGCAGCAGCTGGGGGGCGGCGCGGCGGCCGGGAACCTGTCCCTGTCTCTGGTGGATAAGGATTTGGATTCGTTCAGCGAGGGCAGCCTGGGCTCCCATTTCGAGTTCCCCGACTACTGCACGCCCGAGCTGAGCGAGATGATCGCGGGGGACTGGCTGGAGGCGAACTTCTCCGACCTGGTGTTCACGTATTGAGAGGGGCGCCCCGCTTCTCGCTCTTTCTCTCCGCGGGGTGCAGAGCAGGGTTCCTCGGGAGGAAGTCGTGGTGGTCATGATGATGATGATGGTGTCGATGGTGTCGATGGTGGTGGTGGTAGGGTGGAGGGAGAAGAAGACGCTGGTCTTGATATGATGTCGTGACACAAAGAAATTGGAAAAGATGATGAAAATTTTGGTGGAGTTAAAGTGAAATGAGTAGTTTTAAAACATTTTTTCCTGTCCTTTTTTTGCTCCCCTCCCTTCCTTTATCGTGTCTCAAGGTAGTTGCATACCTAGTCTGGAGTTGTGATTTTTCCCCCCAAGTGTTTTTGTAATTACTACTTCTTTTTCCTGAAATTCGTGATTGCAACAAAGGCGGAGGGGACAGGGCGGGGGAGGGGAGGGAGGACCCGCTCCGGAAGGCGCTGTTTGAAGCTTGTCGGTCTTTGAAGTCTGGAAGACGTCTGCAGAGGACCTTTTGGCAGCACAACCGTTACGCTAGGGAGTTGGTTGGAGATTTTTTTTTTTTTTTTTAAAGATCTTTAAAAAATTGGGAATTTTTAAAAAAAAAAAAAAAAAAAAAAACAAAAAAAAACTGTGAACTGACTTAAGATCAGAGTTTACTTTTCAGATCAAATTGTTTATGGTTTTACAAATGTGATTTCTACTTGCCAACTTTTTTTTTGTAACTTGTTCCCTTATACCTCCTTGATTGAATACCAGACAGCCTAGACCTCAGTACAAAAGGTATTGAAACATTTTTGATACATAACAGACCTCAGTCTTTTTTAAAAATTAATATATTTTCAGGCGTATTTTTGTACAGTGAAAAGGGAACATTCTTGCTGTGTTTTTTCAGTAAGACTTTCAGGCACTTCTTCCCTTTTGATTTCTTTTTTTTTCCTCTTTTTTTTTTTTTTTTTTTTTTTTTAGCATGCAAGTATGTTGGTACGTGATGTCCTGGTTTAAAAGGATTAAAATTTTTAAATAATCCTTGCATCTAAAGGCCTTGTGGTTAAAAAAAAAAAACAAACTTTTTTTTTTTGTACAGCTATAGTAGAGATTTGTTCAATATTTGTAGGTTAAAGATTTATTGAAAATGGTGATATAGACCTCAGAGCTGTTATCTTAGTTTAAAGATTGTATATGTACTGTACTATACTAGGACTTTATGTATCTCATACGCTGTGATATGTGGATGGGGCCCCAGATGGAAGGTTTGAAACTGGATTCTCGATTTTTAGCAAAAAAGAAAAAAAAAGAAAAAAAAGGCACATAGTTTAAAAAGTTTCTCATTTTGTGCAATATAATCTAAATAAAGTACAGACCATCTGCATATTTTGTAGCAAATGGTGGCAAAGCAGACTCAATGCACTGTCGACATCATTGCCTGTTTTTTTTTGTTGTTTTTTTTTTTTTTGTTTTTGTTTTTTGGGTTTTTTTTTGGTGCTGGAAGTCTGTATCTTGACAATTTTAATAAATCAGCTGGAACTGATAGAAACTCGCATCGCCACTAGTCTCTATAGCAGTCAAACTGGAGGTCCCGTTGTCGCAGCGCAGTGACGAGGCCGTTGTGTGCGCGGGCGGGCGGTGGGGGTCCGGCTGGAAGGTGTGCAGTGAGCTGGCGGATTGCGTCTAACTCGGCCTTCCACGGCTAGTTACTGAAAACCAGGGAGGAGGATCCTTTCTCTGCCTTCCCTTTACTTCAACACCCCCCACCCCTCCATTTCCTTTCTCACCTCCTCCTCCTCCACTCCCTCTCTCCCCACCCATCCTGGCCGGCGGGCGGGCAGCGCCGAGAGCCTCGGAGACCCGCCGGGGCGGGGGGCGCGGCGAGGACCCGGTGCCGGCGCGCGGTCAGTGCCCCGCGCTCGCCGGGGGGGTGCGTTCTCCGCTCCGGGCTGCGCCGCGGGGGCAGCCGCCCTCGGGCAGCCGGCGCTCCAGGCGCTCGGATCGTCCCCGCCGCTCTCCCTTAGAGGGTGGGGACAGCCGTTCCCAGTTCTGGATTTTTCTTCCTTTTTTCTTTTTTTTTTCCCTCTAACGCTGCATCTCCGCGTGTGCGCAGAGGTAGATGCTGTGGGGCGCGAGGCCGCAGTTCTGGACCTCGAGTGGCGACGGGGGCCGGGGAGAGGTCGTCGGTGTCAGTGTCTCACCGAGCGCGAAGCGCGGCGGGGCGGCGGGGGCGCCGGCAGGAACATGGCACCGTCGCTGCGATCCGAGCTGCGGCCACCAGGGCGTCGGCGGGGCCGCCGAGGCAACGAGGGCGCAGCCTGCGGCGGGCGGGCCCCGGAGGCGCGCGCGGACGCCCCCACTGGCACCCCGAGGCCCGCGGGGTGGGGAGGGAGAAAGCGGACGGGGGTGGGCGGGGGAGGCGCCGCCGCGCGGGCTCCCGGGCCGCCCCGGAACTCGCCTCCGGGAGGGCCGCCTCTGGGAAGGTGGTGCGTCCTCTCGGTGCTTCTCCTTCCCCAGCGGCCTCCTCGGGGTTCCGGCCGCGGCGGCGCGGGCGGGATCCCCTCCCGCGCGCGCTCCGGGGGCCGTTGGCCCGGCGCTCCCCCTCCCCTTCTTTTTCTCGGCTCTCCTTTCCCAGATCCGGCCGGAGTCCGAGCCCTCGCGGCAGGCCCCGGCCCCGGCCCCCCTTCCGTGCCGTCCGCCCCTCTTTCCCGGGGGGCCGCGCCGAGGGAGGCGGGGAGGCCGTGCGGGGCCCGGCGCGCCGGCTCTCCCGCCCCACCTCCGAGCCGCGGCGCCCGCCGTGGGGGAGGGCTTGGCGGCTCCTGGAGACGCGGTGCAGAACCCCCACTGCCCTTTCTTGGACCTACTGACATGATTGACCGAGGTTCGGCCTCCATTTTTACTGAGATTCGGCGACACCAAATGCGTGCGTCCGCACAGCGCCGGGGGCGGCTAGGCCAGAGGGGCCCCGCACCCTTCCTGGCTCTCGTCCTGCTTTTCCTCGGTCCCGTCCCCCCCGCGCTGCGAGCTGCAGCCTCCCCCAGCCTCCCGCCGGCCCCGGGCAGCCTCCAGCCCCCAGCCCGGGGATGCGAAGCCAACCAGCTTTTGCTGCAGATGGGACCGATTCTGTGGCTCTTCCCTTTGGATGAACCATCAGATTTCGGTAGTACACTTGGGAAAAGAAAGGGCTGATGGTGTTAACAAGGTTCTCAATATAGAACTGGATTTCTGGAGTTGTTTACCTTTTTTTTTTTTTTTCTCCTCTCAAAGTGATAGACTAATGTAGTTATTGGTCGGACATTTATTTTAGCCACGAATAATTGAACCAGCGGTTTACAATTGACGATTCTCTGTGCTGGTGGTTTTACGTGGCGGCCCTCTGCTGCGGTTCTGAAACTTGTTGAAAACACAAACCCATTTATAAGACTGAGTCTATGTATTTCGAAAATCTGAAAACTTTGCATGTGCTTTATGTTTTAATCATAGATGAATCTTGGACTATTTTTTTTGTGGTGGGGTAGAAACTTTAAGTAAATTAGTAATATAATTGGCCTTGGAATGGAAACAAATAGTCTTGATTTAACAATGATAATTTTTTAAAAAGCTCTGTAGCTAAGTTCTTGAGAGTAAAATAAAAGAAAAATAGATGGTCAGCAATCTAAATTAAAAACCTGTTAGAACTCAGGACAGGCGCTTGAATGCGCTTTTAACCATATTTAAGGCTGTTTTGATGAATGCATTGTGAAAATCATTCTTAATGAATTCTTTATTGAATGTCTAAAACATAATATAATACACAGGTATTCTTGCCACTGGATAGTCTTCAATAAAAGTTTAATTGCATTTGGGGGGGTCTCTTAAGTAAGTCTTATTTTTAACTAAGCATTGACAGAATATCTTAAAAAAATGGTAACACGGGGGTGGGGGGTGGGCGCAGAGAGCGCCACAGCCTAGCCAGTGGGTATCCTGCTGTTTATAACTAGTTCACAGACTTTGATGATGGCATTTTGGTAAGATTTCCAACTTTAAGACCTTAAACCAGCATTCTCTTATTAATTCTTTAAACTGTGGAAATTATCTTCCAGTTCTTACACTCTGATATGCATCCCTTTTATTAAAAAAAAATAATAACGCTAATAAAAGGCAGTGTATTTAAACTGTGCTTTGCAAATATTATGTACGTTATGAATGACTACAGTCACAGGGCAAATTATTTGTAGAATGATTATCTTTTCGCTAGAAAAAGATCACTACAATCCTTTTGGGCAGCGATGTTTCTTTGTAATGTTAATCAAGGGGAAGTGATTTAAATATGCATGCAGATAGCAGTCTGGAGGATTTGGTTGTTTTTATGTTATTTTATTTTTATTTTTTGAAAAAGGGAAAGACCCAAAAGGCAAAACTTGTCCTTCTCTTCTCTGGGAGTTGAAACCATCCCCACTTGATATTGGTCCAGTATTTCTTTTACGCTTCAGAACTTAAGTGACTCTTGCCTAAGGAATCTGAGAAGTAAAGCAAATAAGTTGCTCTATTTTAAAGTAGTCATTCAATATAAATATATTATACCAATCTTAACTTTTTTATTCTCTGAATGATTAATAATATGTATATTCTTACTTTTTCTTCCAATGGGCATATGTATCCTTGTGGACATTTTGGAGAGAGGTTTTCTTGGACTCTCCCATTTATAGAATCTTTATACTCTTTTACCGTGGGGTCCCCTGCTTTTAGCAGATTTCTAAGGCAAATATATTTGTGCTTTTTTTTTTTTTAATGTAGGATGACCAGCAAAAAATAGTTTACTGAGTTGTCAATTTTATCAGTAGATAAGAAACCTTCTTTATTACAGTTTCAGGGAAGATTTTTTCAGGATATTTCTCAGTTATTCTAAGGGCCAAATTTTATAAAATTTCCATTAGGAATGTCAGTTTCAAATACCCTTTGTATAGCCTAGGCCTGTGGGGGTACCAAGTCTGAGCCTTATGTAACCCAACACAGGCGTTCATGAGTTCCCAAAGTAACTGTCTCCGTGCAATGATGCTTGCACACGCTTCTCAGAGATTGGGCTTCTTTTAATTATTGCTTCTTTCTCACTGTTCATTTATTTCATTTATTCTGCCATATCCCCTTTTATTGGATGATCTGGCAAATTCTGCTCTTTGGTAACAACTTAGTTGTTTTTCCACTTGGTTCGGGTTTTTTGTTTGTTTGTTTATTGGTTGGTTGGTTGGTTGGTTTTGGCTTTTGGTTTTTGCCCCTCGTGTCCAGCCCACGTTTTCAATCACAATAAAGATTAAACAAAATTTATTGAATTCAACTCTTTTTCCATTTTACTTTGCTGCTGGCTTTTCTTTTGCCTTGACTCCTAACATACCTTTATTTTTTCCCCCATTGAGGTTCTGCTTTTTTTTTTTTTAACACTACCTATATCCATTAGCTGCCTAATTAGTTTTATCTATTCCATGGGGATGCAGTGAGTTTATAAGAGAATTTCACAAACAAGTAGTTTTTTAGTGAACTTAAACAGAATTTTAAAGGAGACCTATTTTTATACTCAATGAAAGCACAAAAGTG